CAACCTTAGCAATACATTTCTTCTCTTATAATTCTTCTCTTGAAAAGAATGCCCACATTGCATTTGCCTTCCTGTTAGCTGAGCCTGCATGCTAACCTTAAGAGAACCCTGAACTAGGACTCCCAAGTCCTGTTGTGTTTCAGATTTCTAAAGCCCTTCACCCCATTTAGAAAATAGTCTACGCTTTAGTCTTCTTACCAAAGTGCATAACCTCACATATTCCCACATTGTATTCCATATGCGACTTCTTTGCCCACTATCCTAGCCTGTACAAGTCTTTCTGCAGCTTCCTTACTTCTTCAACACCACCTACCCCTACTCCTATCTTTGTGTTATCTGCAAACTTGACAAGAATACCCTCAGTTCCTTCATCCAGGAATGTATAATGTTTCACATGAATAGTTGTGGCCCAACATGGATCCCTCCGGAACTCCACTAGTCACCAGTTGACAAACTGAAAAAGACCACTTTATCCCTATTCACTGCCTTTTGCCAGTCAGCTAATCCCCAATGCCAGTACCTTGCCCCTAACACCATGGGCTTTTATCTTATTCAGCAATCTCCCGTATGACACCTCATCAAAGGCCGTCTGGAAATACAAATAGATAACATCCACTGGCTCTCCTTTGTCTAACTTGCCCATTACCTCTTCAATTGATTCTAACAGATTTGTCAGGTATGACCTCCCCTTGTCAATGCTGTGCTGACTCCATCCTACTTTACCATGCACTTCCAAGTAATCTGCAATCTCATCCTTAGTAATGCACTCTCAAATCTTACCAACAATCAAGGTCAGGCTAACCCGCCTGTAGTCTCCTGTCTTCTGCCTCCCTCTCTTTTTAATCAGGGTTGTTACATTAGCCATTTTCCAAGACCCTGGCTCCCTCCCTGACTCCAGTGATTCCTGAAAGATTATCACAAATGCCTCCATGATCTCAATAAATACCGAAAGAACTGCGGATGCTGTAAATCAGGAACAAAGAGAAAGTTGCTGGAAAAGCTCAGCAGGTCTGGCAGCATCTGTGAAGGATTTTTTTTAGATATGAGTGCATGGAGTGCAGTCAGTTCAGAGGGAGATAGGTTGGATTTGGTGAGAGGGGCAGAGAAATTGATGTGACTAATATCACGTCTACAGTTCTCAATGAACAGATCGAGTGCAGGTAAAAGGACGGAGAGGGAGGTGTCCAGGAGGAGGGATAGTTCTGAGGAAGGGTCACCGGACCCAAAACATTAACTCTGTTTTTTCCTTCACAGATGCTGCCAGACCTGCTGAGCTTTTCCAGCAGCTTTGTTTTGTCGCCATAATCTCCTCAGCTATCCTCCTTCAGAACTCTATAATGTAGTCCATCTGGTCTGAGTGATTTATCTACCTTCAAACCTTCTAGCTTCCCCGACATCTTGTCCTTAGTGATGGCCACTACACTCACCTCTGCCTGACTTCTCTTGAAGTCCTTGATATGCTGCTGGTGTCTTCCATTGCAAAAACAGATGCAACGCACCTATTTAGTTCTTCCATCATTTCTTTATTCCCCATCCAAATAGTTATCCAATGACCTCTTGAATGCCTCAAATGAATCTGCCTCCATGATATTTCCCAGTAATGCATTCCATACCCTAACTCCTCACAGGCTATGTTGTTCAGTGGCACAACCCCTCCCAATCCTGGGCCACTAAACCATACACACCGACAAACACAGCACCTGCTCTTTCTCCTACTCGGATGAGCATTCATTCCCAATCTACTGCCTTATTTAATGTCCTCCCATCACCAAACTTGCAGTGTGGAATGGCATGAAATTCCACCCTCAAAATTCAGGAAACTGAATTTATTCAGGCAGGTTAGAATAATGCTTTCTTCACCTCCCCAGTGAAGTGGGCTGGCTCCTGCAGATTACCAGCCGTTGCTAACCAAGTGGGAAACAGTAATACAAGAGTTAGAGGTAGACAATAATGATCCCTGCTAAGTATAGTGAACAGTTCTGGTCAACTGTTAAATCAATGGATGGAGGGATTCTCATTGCTGCTCAATATCCAACTGAATTTTCATGAACAGATTGGATCTAAACTCTGACACATTTTAGATGAATTAGATGTCACTGACAATTAGCATCCATGATAATGCTTGCTGAATAGAGATTGGAGTTTAGTAGTTGAAAACCTAAATAAAAAGGATTTGCATTGAATTCAATCAGGTTGAAATAAATACATTGACCCTATCCTGTTACTGCAATTAATGTGAATAATTTAATCTCCTTGAGAAGCAGGACACTGCTGCTATATATTGTTCTTCAAGGGATTTCATGATTCCTACAGTCACCTGTTTCTCATGAGCAGTCTACACACTAAATAGGTCAACATTTTGTTGCATGGTGTCATAAATCTCCATAATGGCAGGACATGGAAGTACACTGTCTACCATGTTGTTTAATAATGAGTAAATATCCTTTATTCATTCCTGAACCAGACATTGTTGTGTACACATGCAAACAAGGAAACCGCTTCAAGTCCCTAACTGCATTTGAGATTCCCAGCACTAGCTGCCTCAGGGATTGCTGAAGAAAAGGTGATCATCATCATTTAGGGGCAGCACGGTGGCTCAGTGGTTAGCACTACTGCCTCACAGCACCAGGGACCTGGGTTTGATTCCATGCTTGGGTGACTGTCTGTGTGGAGTTTGTACATTCTCCCCGTATCTGCGTGGGTTTCCTCTGGGTGCTCCAGTTTCCTCCCAAAGTCCAAAGATGTGCAGGTTAGGTGGATCGGCCATGCTAAATTGCCCGTAGTGTTTGGGGATGTGTGGATGATAGGGGGATGGGTCTGGGTGGGATACTCTGAGGGTCAGTGTGGACTTGTTGGTCTGAAAGGCCTGTTTCCACACTGTAAGGATTCTATATCCTGATCACTGCTGCTCCCAGTCCTCAGATCTCTGACGTCTAATCTCCTGGCTCCTTGAACTCTGTTCTGCACCTTTTCCAATGGGTCCGGAATACCAACAGCAACCTATGACCTCCCCAGATTCCCATTTCCTTCCCCCGAGTTTGTGTCCAAGGACTAACACTGTACCGGGGAAGCTCAAAGGTAGATGCTTCTGAGTTTAGCCCCTAAGATTAATGAAAGGTCTGACTGGATGGATTCTGCTGGATTAGACTATATTAGACCTGATCCATTTAATCATCTGCCCCTCAATAAATAAAAACAAATAATGGCTACTTTGAGCTCAGTTCAGGAGAGGAGCTGGGCACAGCTCACACTGCTCCTCAAAATGTGACTCTCCACTGTTCTACCCAATATCTAATAAGGCTCATCCTCAGAAGTACTAGGGTAATTTGAACTGTACGCAATGCCCCAGAAGTCAAGAATGAACAGTCATATAGTCATATGGCATGGAAACAGACCCTTCAGTCTAACCAGTCCACATCCCCCGTAATCCCAAACTAAACTAGCCCCACCTGCCAGCACTTTGCCGATATCCCTCCAAACACTTCTTATTCATGTATTTATCTAAATGTCTTTTAAACATTGTAACTGTACCCGCATCTACCACTTCGTGCGGGAGTTCATTCCACATACAAATCACTTTCTGTGTAAAACATTTGTCCTCATGTCTTTTTTAAGTCTTGCTCCTCTCAACATAAAAATATGCCCCTTAGTCTTGAAATCCCCCACCCTAGGTAAAATACGCCTACCATTCACCTTATACATACCACTCATGATTTTATAAACCTCTATAAGGTCACCCCTCAACCTGCTACACTCCAGTGAAAAAAGTCCCAGCTATCCAGCCTCAAACACTCCATTCCTGACAACATCCTGGTAAATATCTTCTGCACCCTCTCTGGCTTAATAATATCCTTCCTATAACAGGGTGACCAGAACTGGAACACTCCAGAAGAGGCCTCACCAACATCTTGTACAATCTCAGCATAATGTTCTAACTCAAAAGTCTGGGCAATGAAGGCAAGTGTGCTAAATGGATTGTTAACCACCCTATCACCCTAACTATATGTGATGCAAACTTCAAAGAATTACATCCTTGAACCCCTGTTCTACAACACTATCCTGGGCATTAATTGTATAAGTCCTGCCCTTGTTTGTTTTACAGATCACCATTCTGCACCAATATTGACACTGAATCACTTTTACTGACTACCATGAAATGATGTGCAATAGGCCATTTCAATATTGCCCCTTTGCAGCTTCAGCCAATGTAAACTTTACACCCAGTAACATCTCCCTGTGGCAGTCAGGCCTGCCTAGGAACGTGGCAGGTCCAGGTGGTATGAGGCTGAGTGTGTAACCTGGGGCTGAAGGGGCAGGATGAATGTGGGGAGGGAATCCCAGGGTTAACACAGTGGATGCGGACCGGTCAAAGAATGACCAGGGTGTGGGCGGGGCCTGCCTCCGTGGGCCGGGCCTATGGCTATGGGCGGGGACCGTGTAGGTGGGCGGGGTAGGCTCTGTTGGCGGGGACCGTGTTGTGGGCGGGGCCCGTGTGTTTTGTACTTAGCCATGGGCGGGAACGGTTGGGGTCAAATGGGGCAGGCGCGCCTGCTATAGGCGGGACCGTTTCTGTGGGCGTGGTCAGTTGGGATAGGCGGGTCCTCTACGGGCGCGGCCGGTTCCGTGGGCGGGGACAGTTGGGGTAGACGGGCCTGCTATTGGTGGGGCCGGCTCTGTGGGCGTGGACAGTTAGTGTAAGCTGGTCCTATGTAGGTGGGAGCCGGCTCTGTGGGCGGGGTCAGTTGGGGTAGGCGGGCCTGATATAGGTGGGGCCGGTTCCGTGGGCGGGGACAGTTGGGGTAGGCGTGTCCTACATAGGCGGGGCCGGCTCCGTGGGCGGGGACAGTTGGGGTAGGCGGGTTCTATATGGGTGGGGCCGGCTCTGTGGGCGGGGTCAAATGGGGAAGGCGGGCCTGCTATTGGCGGGGCCGGCTCTGTGGGCGGAGTCAGTTGGGGTAGGCGGGTCTGTAGTGCCCCCGCCCTCTCACTCCCTGCCTGAACGCTGGGGAGAGCAGAGTGAGAGGGAGTAGCTGGAACTGGGCATGGCTTCGGATGAATTGGCGGCGAAGCTGCAGCGGCGCCTGGACATCGGGGATCAGCAGCCCGGCTCGGAGCCTGAGTGCGGCTCAGGCTATGAACAAGGCGCCGAGGAGAAGCCGGCGACCGCAGCGGCGGACAATGAGCTCTCGGCCAAGCTGCTTCGCCGCGGGGAGCTGAACGATGGCTCCGCCGAGCCGCAGCAGCCGAGCCTCCGCGTCTTTAACCCGTACACGGAGTTCAAGGAGTTCTCCCGCAAGCAGATCCGAGACATGGAGAGCATGTTCCGGCGGTGAGTGAGCCGGGGCACGGGGCGCTGGCGATCGGATGGTAGGGTCTGGGTGGAGGCAGGCGAGAAGCCAGTTCGGTTGCCGATTCCTCAACACTGACCGTGGGATCACCATGTCCTCCGATCCCTGGATCATACCTCATCCCAGGATCACCCTGTCCCGGGATCATTGCCCCCCCCCCCCCTCCATCCTAGGATTATCCCATTTCAGAATCATCACAGGCTCATCCCAGGATCCTCCTTCCCAGGAATATCCCCCTATCTCCCTAATCCCGGGATCGCGTCCACCCTAGGTTGCCCCCCATCATTTCAGGATCACCTCCACAATTCCTATAGTAGCCACCCCATCCCTGGATTAACCAGCCTACCCTACCCCTGGATTCCCCATTCACAAATCTTGGGGATCCCCCCTACCCATTGCTGACCGACTAGGGGATTCCCCCCTCCCGCCACCTGTAAGTATCATTCTAGCTCCCTAACCCGCCGGGTACAGGGTCCTGTATGCATTGTTCCCCCTCCCACTGTAAAAGGGGAGAAGGTGTATATAGGACCCTTCTGTAATTAACTGGATTTTCTGGGGTCCCCTCCCCTCTAAATTGCAATAGTCCGGGGGATTTCTTGTCGATTTCAGATTCGCAGTGAAACCCATTATGAATCACCCCCCCCCCCCTCCCGCGGTGTTAATTTTATGAATGGAAGCTTCATTCCCTGCGGAGTGTCTGACACTATCATTTACAAACCCGTTGACAGAAATATGTTCTTTGACAGAAACCGACGGTGATTAATTTAACAAATATACAGAGCTGGCAGGATCGAGAGGTCGGGATCTTCAGGATCTCCTTTCGGAGACGTTGAGGTCTCTGAAAATTAATCTTTAAACCGTGCAGCTGATAAGTTTAGTGACCCCTGCTGGGTCCTACCGCTCCACAGGTCTTCCAAGTGTAATTATTAGCAAAGCGAACAGGGGAATTGACTCAATGCCCTTCCCTTCCCCTTTAGTTTAAAAAAAAGATATTGTGTTTGCAGTGGAGTTACTCTTCGCTGCTGCGAAATGGAAGCACACTGCCCGAACTATGGACTGCGTTTGTTGGAAATTGGAGTCTGTCCTCAGCATTCCCTCATCCTGTTTATCCCAACTGCGTCTACTCGGACCACAGTGAACAGCGTGACTCTCGATTGCGCGCGTTTCAAACTTGGGTTTGGGTTTCACAGAGCATTTTGGGCTCCCTAATACCAGGGTGATTCACTGGTGGTCACGGTTCAGTTATTGACACTCGAAATAACAAGGGTGATGTAAGGCGGTCCCACAAGGAGCAGCGTCAGGCCTGATACCTGCTTCAGAATCAGAAGCTTTTAAGGCAAGGTCGAGCAATGCAGTTCCAAGGGAGTGCTGTGCTGCCGGCAGTACAATCTTCCAATGGAGATGTTGAGCTGAGACTTCCATGATCTGGTGCATGTTAAAGATCAAGGGAAACTAGAAAAACTTTTGAGGGAAGTAGACTGCAGGGATGGAATGGGGTTATGAGACTGACGAGATTGCTGTACAGAGAGTTGACATGGGTTTGATGGGCCAAATGGCATGATGTCTCCCTTCTGTGTTGGATGGTGTTGCACAGCTCCCATTTTAAAGGCTGCAGTTCAGTCCATCAAATTAAACTTGGAGGAAAGAAGCTGCTTTTTGAACTGTTGCGAACTGTTTGAAGTACTGATTAAAATTTACATTTCATGGCAGTTCATGCACAGCTTCACAGGGCTGGAAGGCTGTCCCCTGGTTGTGAGAAAATAATTATTTCAAAACATGAATAAAAGGAGCCGGGCCATCAAATGAATGTTCTTCAAAGTTATCCTCCTCTGTCCCCAATTAACTGTGATGCTAGTTCCAAGATACGGCAACTTGTGTAGGGTGTAACAGGTGATTGAGTGGGTTCCGGTGGGATTTTAGTTTAATCTGTCCAGGCTTTTCTGTACAGAAGGCAGTTAGTAATGTTCAAGCTGTTAGAGTATGCTTCAACCTGTTCTTGCAGAGTCCTCACTCCTTCAAACATTTGCTGAGCGTGCTGTGCGATCAGCAAGATCCCTGCACCTTTACAGGTTCCACAGTTCCTATGAGTGAGGACAGTGAAGTTTGAACAGTGCACACAGTCTGAGCTTGTTTTGAGGTTCAGCTTTCACATACTTAGCAACGATTACAAAACAGTTCTCAGAGTTGTGGAATGTTGACAGAGCAATGATGGGGAGGGTTAGGAGATCCTGTAGAGTGCAGGGTAAAGAGAGAATTTGGCTCATAAGGGAAGAGAGTGGCACAAGTAGAGGATAAGGACAGAGCAGTGATCAGAGAACAGACCCCTCACACTTGGAAATAAACACAGTGCTCTCCATTTTAACCCAGTTACATATGCTATTTTCATGTTATTACTGCATCTTGGTTGAATTCTCAAAGTACTCTGATCTTCACAGAGTTCCATGATGAGCAAGATTTGACAGCCTAGTATTTGAGGAGGCTGCAACCTTGCAAGTAAAACAACATAAAACATACAGAGATAGTGGGAACTGCTGATGCTGGAGAATCTGAGATAACAAGGTGTAGAGCTGGATGAACACAGCAGGCCAAGCAGCATCAGAGGAGCAGGAAAGCTGACGTTT